AGACCATGCCAATTGCCACCCAATCTCTAAACCAAGAGATCAACCCTCTCAAACCCGAGAGAAATCCTTTTTGAAGCAAGAACACAATTGATCCTATAAGCCTTGAATGTGTAGTGAAGTGCTGCAGTGGCTTAGGATTCTTTTAACTCTCTGAATATTGTCTATACAATCTCTAAGAATGATTGAAACCAAGGCAATATCAGAAACTCTCTTTTTCTAAACACTTAGCATGAAAATCTGGAAAATTAGAGAGTGAATATGCACAAAATGTTTGATCTTGCAAGTGTAAAACTTGGTGCTTGTTTTCTAATGTTTAAACCTATTTATAGCCTCTGAAATGACATAATTTTAAACCCAATTAACGTCCACAAAACGGCTATAAACAGTCACTTATTTAAAACCTGAAATCTGGAAAAACTGCTTTTGTAGTCGACTACAAGTCATAGTAGTCGACTACACTGAGTCTAAACAGACTACAAGTCATAGTAGTCGACTACAAGTCATAGTAGTCGACTACACTGAGTCTAAACAGACTCTGTGAAGTCAGAAAATTGCTTAGTAGTCGACTACAAGGCATAGTAGTCGACTACACTGTAAACTCAGATTCTGGAATTTTTCTGTTTAGTATTTTGACTATAACTTTCTCATCCGATATCGGAATGAGGTGATTTAAGATTTGTTGGAAAGCTCTTGAAGAGACCTACAACTTTGGTCTTTTGAGTTTTTCCAGATTCTAATTTCTAAGGGGTGTAAATGAAATGTTTTAAGACTCACTTAATATCTATAAACTCTAATGGCTAACATAGGGGATTTCTATTGTTAACCAACACACTAAGCATGTGTTAGTGTGTTCTAACACTATGTGTGTGCATGTGTGTGAGTGATCAAGGCTTTTACAAATTTCTAAGCAAAGAAAATATAAAATTACATTTTGACAATAAAGTATATCTTCTTCTTTGTTTCATTTTGCCTTGAACTCATCTATGTCTTGAGTATCTCTTTGAATATAATTGTTGATATAGCTCTGATACTGTAAAACAAATGTTAGCACATAATACACACAACATATAATATTTGTTGTCATCAAAACAAACTAATCTTGGGGTCAAGATTCCTAACAAACATGTTAGCTGTAAGAGTTAACATGTTAGCTGTAAGAATTAACATGTTATCTATAAGAGTTAACATGTTACAGAAAAAAGTTAACATTTTACAGAAAAGAGTTAACATGTTACAGAAAAGAGTTAACATTTTACAGAAAAGAGTTAACATGTTACCGAAAAGAGTTAACATGTTACATAAAAGAGTTAACATCCGCTGACATAAGAAAGAGGAGGGTAAATTCGGGATTTAAATCAGCTGATATGTCTAATCATGAGCTGGCATGTCTAATCAAGTGCTGAAATGAGCTGGAATCATGATGGAGGGGCTTGGCCATATTTTTTTCAAAAAGGAGGGGCTAAAGAACATTAAAAAAGTATGAGGGGCTAGAGCATATTAAAATATAAATTTGGGGCCTAGAAGCAATTTTCCTTGAAAAAAAAGGAGGAGGCGGCAAAATATATATATACAAGTATAAACAGAGTCGTCGTTGATGAAAGCTGACGATATATATTAGATGGCTTCTATGATCGATCAGTACGTACCATGAATCCTCCTCAATATTGCTGTGCTAGAGGAGCGTGATCGTATAGAAGCCATAACTACGATACCATCGACTCTCAGTTTTTGCTCCTCTACGTACGTACGGTGGGCTCCTCTCAGATGTAGAGGGCAATCCTCATGATGATATCTGAAACCAAAATTATTGTTTAGTTTTCACGACTATTCTGCAAACTTTAATTCTTTTCTATTAATAAAGGACGATGTATTTATATAAATATAAAAAAAAAGGTTATGCAAGAAATATTTTTGCTAGTGAAAATATTGGTTCACGCGCGCGTTTCGAGTCTTTTTCAGAAACACGTTAAAAACCGAAAGAGGTTTTCTATTTAGAACCCAAAACTAAGAGGGAGTTCTGTGATATTTTAAAAGTTAAGGAGATATCTCACAAACGCCCAAATTAGAGGGGAATTTGTGAGATTTACCCTTCAGGAAAAATTGTTTGTTGAGGTTCTATATTATTATCGTCTTAGCCACAGTGGGTGAGCCAGACGGTTTAGGAGGTTCCAATATAGCTCCTGTGGTCCTAGGTTTTGATTATGAAAAACATTTGCCTGGTATTATTAGAAAAACATGAGCTGGTTTATTAGAAAAACATTTGCCTGGTATTACTGCCTATATTCAAACGCATGCAAATAAAAAATAGCTTTTGATGGAAACAGCTTTCCAAATAGCTGAAATTTTACATTTCTGAATTTGTAATGCAATAAAATATTACTCTCATACATTGCATTTGGCAAATGAATCTTACCAAATTATCTTTCGAATTCATTAGCGCATTAGTTTATTGGTTTACAGACTATGAAGCCGCATCTCTTAGGGTTAGTAGCCTTTGATTGGTCATTCCTAATTCGGAAATCGTCAAAATATTTGTTTGTTGGCACCGTATTTCCGATGAATAGTGACGCATGCATGATGAACCCGGGAAGTTCATGAATTCTATTAGCTAGGCTAAAAAGT